CTTTCGAAACGACAGGGATGAAATGTCATTACAACTTGGGCAAAGCCGATTGCTTTCTTCCGGAGAATCTATGGAAGCTAAGTTTCTTATTTGATCACAAAAAATAGGTAGCTCAAAGCGCCAACCCTTCCTCTTAGACACTACTACTGATCAGCATGACTTTATTTCTTGAGTAAGGTAAGGGGTACGGAAACGTCCTCTTATCACAGCTTGAACGGGATTCATTGTTGGGAAGAAGACGAAGTCGATTCAATCCAACTCCAACCGACCGGCTGGAGAGATATTTAGTCATGAAAGAAATAAGAAAGAGATTATTCCCTAAGAGCTTGTCCAGTACCTTTTGTTTAGAGTCTTTCTACTTTCTTCTACTTTCTTCTACTTTCTCTCAGCTTGGGTTAAGGAAATGAATTGTAAGTCGCGTAATCCCCCTTCCTCCCTTGCAGTAAAAACTCTCCTCTAATAGCAGAAAGCTTCCATGCCCTATTCTATATTTTTTCTATATTTTGGAAAAGGACCTCTTACGGCAGTTGACAGTGGAAACTTTCCAGCTAGCGATTGATCCAGTTACCGGTAAAGGACAGTTGACAGAAGAAAGAAGAGAGATGAGCTACTATCACTCAAGAACTAGAAGAAGGAAGGAAATCGATTCACTTCGCCAGCCTTGAACTCCTCTTTTTGTTTGCGACAGACCGATTGAGACAGATCTAGAGATAGAGCTGCAAGGGAACACTTACCAATACCTACTGCGGATCAGGCTGAAGCTATTGTTGCACCTCCACTCTAGCCGTGATGCGCGAGGGCCAATATTAAAATGAAAGCAAGGGGCTGATTGGGAAGGGATGAATACGAGCAGTCGGAAGAGCAGCTCTCTCAGAAGCAATTGATGGATTTGGTAGAGTGCCAGTCACAACACTAGAACCAAGTTAGGTGAGCTTGAAGGCATCGGTTGAAGCCCTTAGTTGCAAGGTCTTTGACTGTGCCGGATGTATAATAGATCTTATATAGTTCCGGAAAGATAGAACACACTACTGTACGCTAATAGGTGCTTCTACCTAAAAGAGTTAGTAAACTACCTCCGGTCGAAGCAACGGTTGTTGTTGGGTGGATTTGGAATGGCTATATCCTTTGCTGTTAGCAGGCAGGTTTCCATTCTTTGTTGATGAAAGTATGGCATATGATCGAATAGGTGGGCGGCCTATCTCCTTCTCCAACTACTAGAGGTGCTGTATTTATCGAATATCCGCTTGAAGTGAGAACTCCTAGCTACTGGCTATAGCTGATGAGTTGCAGCAAAGGTGGGACTGGAATGGGTTGATAGAGTGATCTGGAGCATTAGAAGATCCCCGTATGAGACTCGACGTCGATCAGCTCGATGAGGGTGCTTTCTCTCCCATAGTGTGTTCATGAATGAAGCCCTGTAAGTCTCTTGCTTAGACTTATGTTAGGCTCTAGAGCGAGAAAGGTGCTGCTAAGGTATGATATATTCTATATAGCATATCTTAGGCCTTACCGAGGGAATTGATTGATCTGGCACAAGCTATCTTCCTACTTGGATCAACTCTATCTCGTTTACTTAGATTGATTGCTCTTTAAAAATATTCTCTCGTTATCGGTCGACCTTCAAGACTTGCTTACGATAGGAGGCTAATCCGTGAAAGACAAAAAATAAATTCCATTCCCAATAGATCAAGCCGAGGTAGTAGACCAAATCGTTCCTCCACTTACTCTACTAGGTTGGCGAAAGCCTTGTTACGAACTATTGACCGAAGAGCCTTACTACCAGAGCTAGCGGAAGAGCTCAGCTCCTACTAGAAGCTGATGAAGGTGATTCGCCTCAACTACGGGATGAACGCCGGGTAGAGCTCCTCTTCCGTATCTGCATCTTCCTCATATGTAGTTTCTATGCCGCCTATTCTTGATCCCCGAGAGGCTATAAATAAGGTATATCGGCTCAACATTCGGACATATAAAAGAAGTCCAGAAAGGAGGGAACTCAAACGAAGATACCTGCGAATGGTACTGCTACTTTTAAGCCTAGGGCTAATAGCAAGACAGAGAGATTCGTGACGTGGAGAGATGTGCTAGACTTTATTTTTATCCTCTTTCTGATTCCAGTTACCATCAGATTGAATGATAGCAAGGCTAAACAGATTCGAGATTCTCGATCAGATGAGCGAACAGGGCAAGCACGTACTACCTACCAGAAGAGTAGAGCTCAGAGCGAGAGAAAGGTGAGGGCCGAAGAAGGCATTGACTTGAAAGAGACTTACCTGTAAGTGATATCTAGTAAACTACCTTATGTGTGATGTGATGCAAGGTTTTCTTACTCCGCGTCTGCTGCCATTGACTCTTTTTCAGTAGGCGAGAAGCTCACATCCCGCTCCATAGAAGGGAGAAATGCTTTGAATAGCAATCTTTCGTACCCCACTTCCCTTGTGAGATGGGAAAGCTTAATGGAGTGACCAAGCCAAGACCTTAGACGAAGAGAGTGTCCAGGCCAAGAAGTGAAATGAAAATGCCACTTAACACACTGACTTCGATTTTCTTTCCTAGGTCAAGCCCGGGGGAAGTTGAATCTAGCTCTAGGGTAGGGAGGTCTTTTCTTAACAACATACCTAGTCGAGAGACTCCGTAACCTCTCTTTCAAGCCAATGCCTTTCCATAGCTTTTTCGGTACTGTGTTGTTGAACCGTTTCGCCTCCGGATCTACTGTATCTTATCTTCATCTTATCTTCTTTCGAGCACAAGCCCAACTTATTTAGCCTCTCTCGCTGGTCGAGCTACTCCGTTCCTCTGATAGGGTTTTTTTTAACAATTACTGTACACAGGCCCAATTCCCTGAAGAATTCACATGATGTGAGCTAAACTAAACCGGCTCGCTCACCTTCAAGTTCAAGAGTCGTAAGCCGAAACGGCAGCATCATCGTTGAAGGATTCGAGTATGCTGCTTAGCTTAAGGCTTTGACTTATATTTATATAATATAACTTTTGATAAGTGAAGAATAAGAATGAATGAAAGGAGTTGCGTTCATGCGATAATTTGATTCATTCCTTATCAGAGAGAGACCCAAGTTAAGAACTAAGGAGAGGAAAGTATTCAATCCTTGAGGATTGACCAACTTCATAGCACGAATACGAATTAGGGCTCTTTAACAGCATCTCGTCTCCGACTGAGCTGATTAGCTGATTCAGTGCCTTTTTTGTGAGTGAAAGTGTGGGTAAAGAATCTTGAACTTGAAGGTGAGCAAGACTCAAAACTAGGCAACAGGTTGGGTCCACCATAGACGAAGTGTTTAATGTAGCAGCTGTGGCACCCGAAGACATAGGAAAACTGACTCTTCATCTTTAATAGACGTCACCCACTAAAACGTCAACTAAATGAAAGCCTCTTCCGGCGCTTGTCCAAAAAAGGAAAAAAGCAACTCATAAACCCAAAAAGTTTAACCCAGGTATACATATCCTTACCTCATCTCTGGTTCAGGACCAACCATGCACTCACACGACTCTATTCTTAAGCTTGCAGTAGTGCCGTTGCTCTAGTAGTCTAACCATGCAGTAGCATACCAATGCAGATATCGGAGATGATACTCCATCCATCTTTCTTTCAAAAATCTTTAAAACATGCAATCTGCATCGTCACCATAGAAAGTACGAATCCGATCAATTTAAACTTTGATGGACGTACACGAAACGCCCTTACCATTCCATACTGCTCTGCAGTCAACACTCCCAAATCTGGAAATGCTAACCAAAACTTCAATGGTAAAGGAAGTATGCCAGTCAGCGAAAACATTAAGAGATAATGGCGCTTCCAACGTTTAGATGCCGGACGTGAGTAGACCTTATAAGAGAAATAAGAGAAGATCCACCGCGTAACCTGTACGAACACAGCAAATTGACTCGCAGTTCCGAAAACAGGAAAGTGGAAACTCCAGAAGAGAAGAGAGAGTACGGAGAACCCGAAGGGACACAGGACTAAAGTAAAGTGTAACCTTATAGAATAGGCCATAAATCTTTTAGCAAATTCTAGAGCACTCACGTTAGGGACTTTTATGGACTGATCAGCACCCCTTTGGTCGACTTCTCTTGTCACAACAGCGTAAATGACCCCGCTTTCGCTCAAACTTCTTCTTGGTGAGCAATTGGAGGCGCTTCTGTCTTTATCTTTAATTATCTTTAAAGGGAGGCCGGGCGTACTCATTAGACTACTGAAAGGAATATGATGGCTTAACGCCCCAACTGTTATGTAGTTCTCTCTTATATCGAAATAGGTATCCTCGCCCTAGTAGTGCGGACTCTTTTCTGAGTACGTTGCTATCCCACTAGTAGGGACTTATTTGCCTGTAATTTTCTATCTATTTAAGAAGAATCCCTTTCTAATTTAATAGGATAGTACTTTTTTTATAGTTATTGCTATAGTTATCAGTCATTATCAGGTAGATCATCTTGGTATTTGATGCGCCCATCAGGATATTTATCCAAAAATGAAGGAAACATTGTGGATATCGTCTTTTCTAATGCCGGGTTAGTAACCTCTGTAGGTTTCTTTTCATCTTCTATTTCATTAAATATATCTGTAATAAGCTCCCCAGAGAATCTCTTGACTAGTAAATCAAGGAACTCATCCCATCAGTGCCCTCTTGTTAGTGCTAGTCAGCTACCATCCTTCCTATACCTGATGCGCTTTTTTTAGTTAATGCAAAGACCCAATTCGCCCGGGCTGGGATGGCTTCCGACCTAAGCGGGGTTGCACCGTAGGTACCCGCAGTCTCCAGAGTGTTAGTCTGCAGGCAGAGACTTGTCATCATCCCAACGTCATCAAAAGGCCTTCAATCCAGTAGTATACTTATAGGTGTCTAGTAGGTGTCTAGGTGTCCGGTCTTTGAAACCAGACCGCAGTTAAAAGCCCGTCAACTAGCTAGCCTACCATACCACTTAGAAAGACGGTGACGAAAGTTGTCACAAATAAACCCTATTTCCTAGAGCAGATATAGTTAACCGAAGGGATTCTTGCTTTAATCCGTCCCGCCATTCCTTACTTAGGAAGGAATATAGTAAGAGACGACTGCTTATCCATCATCTTTTATGAGTGAAACAACGAGCTCTATGACTATTTGTATTTTAGCCGAAGGCCTTTTGACTGTTATAGTCTCTCGCTTGGACTCTTCTCACGAATTGGATTCGAACCAATATGCTCCTTTCGGCGCGACTTCTCCTTTTATCCTTTTAGTTGATCGTGAGTAGATCTGTCGTCCTCCTCATTATAGTCCGCACGAAATAGTAGGTATAAAGTAAATTGCCCAATGTTTCCAAATTAGTCCAACTTCGGATCATCAATTCCTTTCTCTCTCAGAATGACGACCCGAAAATTATCGTAAATTATATTATTCTTCCAATACGGGGGCTTGTCGTCTAAGAAAGATAGGTCTTTCTTGACAACATCATGAAAGGCTCTTAGGCTCGTAAGGGAAGAAGGAGATGGGTTCTCGAAGCTTACAAGTGATTTTCGCAAATTGTCAAAAAAGGTAAGAGTGCCTATCTCTACGGCAGCCTCTGGATATTCTTGGATGATCTCTTTATCAAAGAGATCCAGATATCTATAGATACCATTAATAAGACTAGTTCTTATGGCTTCCCTTTCATTAAGAACTGCCTGCTCGAGCGTAAGCTCGGAGTCAGACGTTCTATCAGGCAACATCATATTCTCTATACGGAGCGTTGCTTCCGCAGTGACGAGCGCTCTAACAGCACACCCTAGAAGCATTGCACCCACCCCCGAAAAACCCATTTTAGTGAAAATGAAAGAAATCCTTTTGGCTGCTACTAAGCCTGCCCCTTTTTTTAGAACACTTATAAAAAAGGGGATCGCCCCAATATTAAGACAAATTACATATAAACAAATCAAGACAACTATAAGTAATAAAAAAGGAATGTGAGCAAATATATCATGTCGATTGCTCAACCGTACTTTGGCTATCTTACGTGGAGCTGAATTAGGTTTTTTCGGTGTTCTCGTTGAAACACGCGGGCATACTCCTTGCTTCTGGGGACATTGATCCAAAGCTCGAGTACGGTCCGTGCGCCGTTTTTCTTCTCTACCATGACGAATCAATTGATTGAATGTAGGCATCGCTCTTTCCTTTGTCCTTCCCCCCAATTTTTGCCCTTGGTTACTCCCGATCCGAAGCNGGAATGTGAGCAAATATATCATGTCGATTGCTCAACCGTACTTTGGCTATCTTACGTGGAGCTGAATTAGGTTTTTTCGGTGTTCTCGTTGAAACACGCGGGCATACTCCTTGCTTCTGGGGACATTGATCCAAAGCTCGAGTACGGTCCGTGCGCCGTTTTTCTTCTCTACCATGACGAATCAATTGATTGAATGTAGGCATCGCTCTTTCCTTTGTCCTTCCCCCCAATTTTTGCCCTTGGTTACTCCCGATCCGAAGCACCCCTTTTCCATTCATAGAGAGATCCAATCGTCAAAATCAATAAAAAGGCCATCATGGACCAAGATCCAAACGGATCAATCTTGTTGAGAGATACTGCCCAAGGAAAGGAAAAGGTTACTTCCGGATCAGGAATAATAAATAAAATGGAAACAAGATAAAATCTTATATCAAAACGACTTCTGGCATCACCGGAAGGATCGAAACCACATTCGTAGGCCGACAATTTTTCTGGATAGGTCGAACTATTGGAAGCAAATGGAAAAGGAAGACCGAGTAGGATCAAAGAAACTAGCGAACTTATAACTAAATAGATACAAATAGGTGCAAATTCTGACATCACCACAGCCCACTTGGTTCTCTCGCTCCTTGCTCGCGGAGCGGCATACCGAAATAAAATAAGGATTCAATCCAGCCACAGGTTCCCCTATGGCTACCTTGTAAAAGCAAAGAAAGCCCCTGGTCTGGGTGGAAGTAGACTGTCTCCGGTAGGTAGTTCTTCTTCCGTTGCTACAAGCGTGAGATCACCAAGGAACGAAGTCCCTCGACCTACGGGAGAGGGACTCCCCTCTTCGAGCGACTTCGTACCTCTTCGAATGAGTGTAACATAGTGAAACGAATTCTCTAGCGACTACGTACGTTGGTCGTACCTCTTTCAAATGAGTTGAACATAGTTCAACGTTTGAAACGAAATGAGTTTCACATAGTGAAACGAATCTCTGTTCTCTGTTCTCTGTTCTTCAGAGTGACTTCGTACCTCGAAGAGGTACGAGGGTCCAAAAGAATGATTTCCCGAAGCCTACATGGAGCAAATTGACTCACTTTATGTCAAGAGTTCGCTTCGCTATTACGGCCCAGTCACGAGCTCAACCTCATGAACGCCCTGACTCGGATACAGCTCCAGCGGTAACAGAAAATCCGTTAGAATAATTCGCGCGCGATAAGAGCAAGCGGAGGTTTTGACTTAGACAACCATGGGCTGGCATAAAGAGATCAAATCAACCCAGTCGTCTTTCTATAGGTTGGTGTGGACTTGAGCATTACGATTTTC